CGCCCGCTGGTTATCCCGGTGGATATCCGGGTGGTGGCTATGGCGGCTACCCGGGTGCGCCGGGACAACAGCAGCAGCAGCAACAGAAGCCGCACAAAAATGACAAGCATTGATCAAGTTTCGGGATGCGATGTGGCGAGGAGCGCGAAGTGGGCATGGAAGTAGGAGTCAAAGTCGAAGTCGGAGGAATAGGAAGGAGCTGTAGTCTGTAGTTGGAGTGGAAAATGCTGCACTAAACGGATGTGGCAGGTGCCTTGAATTGGGTGAGTGGTAACCAAGTCCCAGTAGTTGATAGACAAAAACATTTCTTCCGTGTTGAGCTGCAAAGCTGGGCTCTCAATTGATTGCTTTACGAACACACACACACATAGTATATTTGCTTTATCTTTCTGCTTTAATTGCCTGCTTCATTTTAGTGAATGCGAGACCCCCCCTTCCTCATATTGTTATGTATAATTAGTACAATTGATGCTTACACTATGTGATATCCTAACCAAATCTCGTTTCCCATGCGTACAACTCTTTGCAGTGATCTATTGTTCTACTATGTCCTATGTCTTTTATCCCCCCACAAGCTAGCAAAAAATAAATAAACAAAAGAAAAAGTTTTTAAACCACATCATCAGCGACACGAAGAAGCAAAGAGAAGGGATGAGACGAGATGAACAGAGAAGAGAAGATAAGATCGAAGGAGACCGGATCAGATCATCAATTATAAAAACAAACAAAAAAGCATTCAGCTTGTGGCGTCGCACTTTGCATAATTGTAAATTAATATATTAACAACTGTCTATTATCTGATATTCCCTATGATTTCCCCATTAGTACATAAGAGAGTAAGCCACCCTGAAAAACCGAACTCTACTTTTATATTTGTATTTATATTTATATATATATAAACCTAAACCTAAACCTAACAGAAGGAAAAGATATTGCCTCTGCTGTCCATGTTCAATAGCACTGAGCCACACACAAAAACACACACACACACACACAGTAGAACCAAGCCAAGCCAAGCCAATCCAATCCAATACGTTTTTGGGTAACAACTATATCTATCTATTCTTTCCTCGTCAAGCGAAATGAAATGTGCGAGCGAACGGCAGTCGATCGGAGAGTGTTGAGAGCGTTCTTTTTTTACAATTGAAAGACAACATTTTTGAGAATTCTCAAATTGCAATAACTGAAACTAAAAAATATATAGAATTACAATTAATATGCATCCATTTACTTACATATACTGATTAGAACTATATATATCGAATGTAGCTCATAAATGATGATCGTTTTTGATACATGAACATATTTCTCTCGTACTTAGCTTAGTGTTACATATTACAAAGAAAAAACCAACCCGTTCAAGCAATATCTATAATCATACATACATATAAACGATGTTCTCTATACCTTGGTGATCTGGTAAGACTTTCTTTCGATTTCCAAAATGTATACACTGTATAAGATTTCTGTAATGTGGCCTGAGAGGGGAGTTCTGAAAGTCCAGGGGCCTTTGGAGTGATACCAATTTGATTTGATAATAACAATATGCATACTCGTACAATATATAACTTTCACCTTTCAGTTTGTGGACAATACTTAATAGCCTTATGATCAACGCAGCCCAGAATTCAATAATATTAGACTTGATTTGGTACTCTATTTTACTGTAATTTATATAGGATATCCTAACTGGTTAAACTCTTTTCAATATTTTCTTTAAACAACAGACAAACAAACAGAAAAACTCATTTCCCAAGGTACAAGGAATAATAAATATCACACCATATATATATATTTCAATATTTACATATATTACCACCATATGCCACCCTATATTATACATACATATGCCAAACATATATGTACTTTCAGAGGGGACATTCTTCAAGGCAGTTCATAACAGAAATCCGAAAGCAAAACTCCAGAACCTTCACACTCTCTCTTATAGAACATGAACAGATACGAAATAATTAATTGTAAAAGTGTCAAGCTTGGTAAGATCGTGTGTTCTTGTTACTGTCTCTATATGAAACATATTGATATACAAACTTACATATTACATATATATATATATGCAAATCTAACAATGATAAAAACTTACCCATATGAACGTTGGTCTACCATAATATTTAAACATTACTTTGAATAATCTAAACTAAGTTTTACGTCTCCCCAATACACACATCTGAATGTTGCAACAGCAGATGAACCAACAACAATTTGTAAACGCTGGCCGGCAGGGCAGTCTCAGAGTCTTTGAGTGCTGAATCTGCCCGCAGCCGACGAGACATTGAATAAACATATAATATATAATACCGTATATAATACATATAGATATATATATCCTACATATATCAATTTATTCTCAGCATTTAGCACTACAATCGTGCTCTATGCTTTATTGCGTTTCTATTGACTTTAATGACTTTTTTTGTTTGTTCCTATTGCCTATTGCCATAATTGAAAATCGTTTCTTGAGCGTATTTTCAGAGGCGCTGTTTGTGGTCTTGGCTTTGGAGGATATCTGGGGGAACAGGCTCAGGACAGACTTTAACTTTTCCTAGTCGATTGATTGATTGATTGCCACGATCGGGGTATGCCTTGAATTATATTGGAAAACGATTTTTACATTTATGTATACCTATTGCCTTATCGAATTGCACTTTTAATAATATTGACATTTGATTATGATGATGATGATATATTACTATCTATTTTTGTGTGTAAACTTTACATATCTACATATATACAAATATTTCTATATATTTTCATAGCAACTGCAGTGATTCCTGCCCAGAGTAGATCTCAGTCGATCAAGAACTTGAACAGATACTCGTATGATTCGGTACTGACTATATGAATATTTATATATTATGTATATAGTTTCAAGGTATCATTTGTTTGCTATATATTCGGATTACATTGCCTCCAAAGCCCATCTATATCTACATATATCTCTATATTGATTGTTTTTTATACCATATATACATACATATTGTCTAACAAATCCTCTCAAAGTGTGGCACAGCTCTAGGAATAGGCAGGGAACGCGAATAGTATTCGATAAAAGGCATCTCTCAATAATTGTGATAGCTCAGCTTGGCCTAGTCCTGTTCTATGTATGAGATCGGGAAGTCGTTCGTTCTTTTAGAGTTTCAGCAAAGGTGTAATTCGCCCTGATGTTATGCCCGTCCTGTTCGGTCTCCTGCAGAGAGGTAAGTATGGTCCATCTATCCGTAGACGTCCATTTTAAAACCCACTTACGTTGAGCATTTTTTTGGATCCAATGTCAAGCCGTTTATTTTGCAATCAAATGATATTTTTGAAATTGATATATAGATGTATTGATTTATATTTGATTTAAATTACGTGCTTTGATCTATTTGCAGGGCCAATTGAATATACAAAAGTCCATTTCAACCTTTCCATACTCATATTAACACATGCATATAGATATATTATATCGTATCGTATTCTTTTTACCAGAAATTGGAACATCTATATACATATATATACCTACACATATATTTTGTTGTTGTTTTAATAACATTTGTTGATATATCTCTTGATAATACTCATATATATAACTGAACCATGAAATACTATCTGCAATTTACAGCCCTGTCTGCGTGATCTTCGTATATTCACCTGGTCAGAGTCTGATCCGATATTAGTTTAATTTTCAACTTGCAATATATAGATCGTAAATGTCATCAATATTGAATACTATTCTAAATACTTTTCTCAAATAAATTTCATCATCTAAAAAACACGAAACGATAGCAATTTTTGTTTGAAATGGAAGGGAAGAAAGAATTATATATAACTTACCACAGCACATCTCCTCCCAAATTTAAGTTACATTAGCACACATTTGGTTTTACTTAACTTCTCGCATTTTATTTGTGATATATAGATGTATATCATTTCTTGTTCATCTCATCCCTTTAGCATTTCGCAACGAAACATTTAAAGTTAGAACAACAGAATATGTATATGGATATATTTATAGAGCCTTAGTGCCTGCTCGATTCATCCATTTCAACTGGATTCGTCAGCCATTCAGTTACATGCTGCTGTGACTACGCATATTGTAAACTCTTAAACTACACGAAATACATACATAGTACAGTGCGTATCGGTAAAATAGATTGGGCAAAACAACATACATACATACATCGACTTTTTTTGTTTGTTTTTGTGAGTGTTTATTTTGGATTTTAGTTCTGCTATTTTATTTACGAGTTTACTAGAAGAAAACTTACATTGAGATGCTGATGTTTTTAGATATATTTATGTATGTATATATATTTTGAATTTGTTCTTTAAGTTTTCTCCCGACAATAATTAAATGTTTCTGCTTGATATCCATTTGTGTTGTGTACTTGCCTTTTTGTTTTTAAAATTAACATACATCTATTTCTGCCATTTTACATTTATAAATATTTATAATATTTAACTCTTTCATTCATTTATTTGATGTACTCATCCGTGTGTGAGCGTGTTCCCAGTTGCGTTTTGTTGTCGAGAAACCTATGTATCTCTTCCTTCCTGTCTTTCAATTCTCCTCAACTACTAGGGGCGAAACACTTGGATCTGAATAGGACTTTGGGATGGGATACTGGTTGTGTACCCAAACGAGTGACGGAAACCTTCGCTGGCATCGTCAATTAATTATCATTCAATTCACTCCCTCCCTCCTCTGCCTTCTGTGTGTGCTTTTGCATCTTAAAACTAAAGTTACTCGCCCAATTTTTTTTACATTGCCAAAAAGTGTTGCAATAATTAAAATTGTAAGTCTTCTTCCATTTACGTTTCAGTGTGGCTTAATTCCGTCATTCATTATTATTTTTTTGTACTGCTGCCAGTGTGTGAATTTTTGTTATTTTTAATTTTTCTTTCGCTTTACTTTATTTTTTTTAATTATCTTGCCTTATTTTAAAATACATCTTTTTTTTGTTTTGAATGTCAATCAAAATAGCTAGTTTTAGTACGTTTTGTAACTGATTTTGTTTTTGTTTTTACAAATTTATCCTTTTTGCATAATTTACACACATTTTGCAGAGCTGTCAAGAACACAAATAGCCATTTTTAGAAAGGAAATTGAATGCGTGGGGGCGTCTCTTTCTGGGACAAATAAGAAGTTTATATATACACATGAATATATATAAGAGTGTACAGACGGCGATATCATGCGAATGCCTCTGTCGTTGAGTTTAAGATTAACTTCAGATAGCTGTACGAGCACAAATCATCCTCATATACTTATAGGAGAACTAGAGTTACTTTTTCTTGAACTACGCCGAACGTTGGATGGTGTTGAAACAGCATTCAAAGGGTGGCAAAGGTTACTTTTCTGCCGCTGTTTGTTTTATTTTGCTTTGCTTGTTTACAGGACCTGGCCCTTCCTCCGGCTTGAAGATGCCTCCCGTCTTCGTTTTATGTCGCAATTAACTGTCGGAATAGGGGGAATGTGATTAGATCGAATAATATAAACAACAAATGGATGGATTGCTAACCGCTTTTACTGTGGCCTTAATAAAGTCTTTCTTGTCTGTTAGATCAAATTCTGGATATTTCGCATAGACTTGCTTGCAAACTGTTTTCATGGTGATCTCCTCCAAATTTGCTTTATCCAAAATTTCTTTGACATAGCCGCGTATTTGCTCATCCTGCAATCAAAATGTGGATTCAAAATCAAACTGACAGTACGGATCGAAGATCTAGCGACTACTCACCGTTGGGAATGCCATTTTGCCCTTTTTGGTTAGTGGCTCGTCCTCGTCTGACTCATCTTTGTCATCGATATCATCATCCTCTTCCTCGGACGATTCTTTCTTTGATTTTTTTGGTCGACCATCGGCTGGAAACCCATTAGAAAGAAACAGGTTACAGAATATCAAATGGCTCAAAAATCTATTGTGTGGGCTTACCCTTTCCAGCTGGTTTTGACTTATTGTTAGCTTTGCTATTTCTCGCTGGCGTTGTGGGCTTCCTACTCTTCTTGGGGCGTACATCCTGCAAGATGGAGATGTGTTTACCTTTCGCTCTCCTTTGATCCTTTCTCCATGTCAGTTTTAATGCTCACCTCACTTTGATCGCTGCCAAACTCAGACAGTTCCTCCTCCTCCTCATCTTCGGAAATGTCATCCTCCTCGCTGTCGGAATCTTTGCGTTTTCGAGCAGCTGCTCCACGTCCACGTCCCCGTCGTCCAGCCACGGCAGCTACTGCCGGTCGCCCACGCTTGCCACTGACAGCTCCGCGCTTGCGCTTCGGCACCTGTACGAAAGATCAAGGTTTAATCAGCTAATTCGGAGGGGTGCAGAGGAGAGGACTTACATCGCTGTCAGCATCGGATATTTCAGACTCCTCTTCCTCCTCAGAGTCCGAATTTCTTCGCCGACTTTTGCGCGCGGGACGACCACGGCTGCCGCGAACAGACACGTTGCGACCAGCCTTCCCGGCACCAGCACCACCACCACCACCGCCGCCTCCACGACCCCCATCCGACTCTGAGTTGGCCGAGGGATTGTACTACAAATGAGGATAGAAATGGTAGAATCTCTTGTTTGCATCATCTCATCTCATTACTTACGTCTGAGCCAGACTCGGAGTCGTCGTTGCGTCTCCGTTTGGCCACCGTTACTTTGTGCTCGCTCTCCTCGGAGCTAGAAAAGTCAACGTACGCAGACATTTCTGAAAATAGATGCCACGCAAAGGTCAGGGTTAGGGATCCTCTCGAACTGATAATTGTTTTTGTCTTACTTTTGCCTGCCGTTGATCGACGGGGACGTCCGCTGGAATTACGGGCCGAGCCTCTGCCGCCGGAAGCACCCGACTTGCTGCTCTTACGTTTCTTGTCATCCTCGCTGACCTCCTCCTCTTCTTCGTCCAGATCGTCCTCGTCTGGCTCCTCCTCGTCTTCGTCGCCCTGCTCTAAGCACAACGATTCATCCGGCTCCATTAGAAATTTGAGCACTCGCATAACAATCTCATTCTTGCTGCCTTTGCGATCCAATGTGAGAATCTCGCAAATGCTGCGCAGCCCTTTGTTGTCCACCTTCTTGATGGCATCGAGTTTCTTGTTGTATTCCGACGAGTCCTTGGCGAACTCGAAACCAGCAAAGGAGCGCAGGTTCTTCTTCACAACATTGTTCTTGCCTTGCGCCCCAAAGCAGAGCTAAAAAGAGATTTATTCCAGGTTAAATAAATTGTTATCCAAAGGAAAATTTGTTTCACTCACCGCATGCAGGGTCTGTAGGCCGTCGACACGAGTCTTGTTGATGTTCTCATTGATGCGATCAATCTCCGCCAAAGCCACGACATTCTCATCGTCCTCGGCCACCTCATTGTTCTCATCCAGTCCGTCGTCCTCGTCACCATCTTCGGGTTCCTCGTCTTCGTCCTCTGACTTCTCCACCTTACCATTTTTGGGTTTGGACAATGTCTTCTTGGCTGGGGCCGATTTGTCAGTTCCCGCAGCTGCCTTGCCCTTGGCCCCATCCGTGGCGTCGCTACTTTTGTGCTTATCATCTGCCGCAGGTTTGGTGGTCCTGTCGCTCTCCTCATCGCTAGCCTTCTCCTCGTCCTCGTCTTCCTCATTCTCTTGTCCATCGGCATCGTCATCGTTTCCATCCTCATCCTGCTTTTTTGCATCCTCCTTCTTTGCATCTTTGCTGCTGTTAATGCTCACTTTCTTCGCTGGAGCAGGCGATACTTCCGTTTTGTCCGATGCGCCTGTTCGATCAAATAGAAACAAAAAAGATTCAAATTGATGGAAAACTGTTTAAAAATCAAAGTAAAGTTAATTGCTGCAAAAGAAAATGTCTTCAGCCTTGGGAAGTCCAGAGCTACCTGCGCAAGGAACTATGAATACTGAAAATGTTGCTATACCTCGGCGTTTACTACGCAAAACCCCATTGGAAAGGATTAGCATGAACAATAGCCAAGGAAAAACGAAAATTAGAATATCTCTCTCCGCCGCCTCTGGTGGCATTCGAACCATGGATCATCATATCGCGAAGAGAGTGACACGCCGAACAGTTTAGACGACTGCGCCACACGTAAACTCCCAGAACAAGCAGCAGAGAGCCAATAGGAACACGCACACACTCATATACATGTGGGCCGGCAAGCACATGTCCCCCCCTACCACTCACTACACAATGCATTCTCTGTTGGCGACAGATGAAAATGAATCCAATTCGCTGCGTTGCGAAACGCGCGCAAATTCATTTTATGATTTTTGTTTTTCTCGCTCTTTCTTCACCAACACAAGCATACACTATTGATACGACATTGCTACATAGACAGGTTGTCGTTGTGTGCGCGTGGCTTTTATTTACCTGCATCCGAGTCGGGGGTGGGGGCTGCCGCTGTGTCTCCTTTGGGCTTTTTATCAGCGACGTCATCAGCGGTGGTGGCGGAGGCCGCGTCGTCCTCGGGAGCGGGTGTCGTTGCATCGGACTCCTGTTCGGCTCCTTTGGACTGCTCATCGCGGTCCTCGATGGCCGCCGCTGCATTCTCCACTGCCTTCGACTCGATTACCTTATCGGCGGCATTCTCTTTGGCTGCCGTTTCTGCAGCTTTGTTAGCATCCTGGCAATAGAGCAAAAAAAATATACGAAATCACAATTTAATTTCACTTTGTAACTTTTTGGCGGCTACTAGCATCTACCATTCGATTTTGTGCGTTTTATTCGGAATGAGTTCGAGAGCTTGTGTATGCGTGTCTTCCACACGACGAGCGAGCGAGTGAGAGAGAGAGGAGATAGAAATTGAAAAACAACATTGCAAATCTATGAGGCGCGCACGCACTCGTTGTCTCACTCCCACTCACTGAAACCTAGGCACAGGCCACAACGACGCCATGTTTATACACATTAAATGAGCGGGGAGAGAACGATAGTCGGACAATCCGCATCCTCTCTGGAGCCAATATTTGTTGCGCTCTATTTACACTCAAAACACATTTGCGAACAAGCCGTTTTTAATGCGCGTCCTTGGCACACACTTGAAACTTTGTTTTAAAACCATTTTCAGAATTTTACATACCATATTTCTAATGGTTTTTATATTTTTTCGTCAGCCGACACACATTCAATCAGTGTGACCGCGGAATTATCGATAAAATATGCCGACAGACCCTCGGAAATATACCGAAATATACGCTTTCATTTTCTAAGTATACTGTAAATATACCGTAAATCACAAGTCATTTTAATCATCTTTGATCTTCTGTTGAATAATACCAGCTGGTTGGGATTCTCAGCTTTAAAAATGTAATTTAACTAGAATCAGTAATCGATTCCCCACAAGATTGGCTGAATTTCATGACTTATCTTTATGGATTAATTGCAATATAAGGTTAAAACTTAAAACGTTAACCAACAAAAAATACGACTTAAAGTTACGTAGTTGGGAATGGAATGTTACGTCATTTGACAATTTGTTAACACTAATTGTTAGCAGCCGATTGTTTTTATATTACCATTGAACACACTGATGTATATCGATATTTGGTGACTTGTCGCAAAAAAAAAGCGCGCGTTTTGCAGACAAAAACTAATTTTAACGGCGGCGTGACTTTTATAAAGAACAAACAACACATTTGTTTACGTACACGGAATTCAGTAAGCACAGATTTGCCATGGGAATTTTGGGCTTATCGAAGCTGATAGCCGATTTGGCGCCCCAGGCCATACGTGAGAGCGAAATGAAGCATTTCTTTGGTGAGTATGAATGTGAGTCTGGAAGCAGAACTCGTGTTAATCCTGCTCCTATTCTATATCCTTGTAGGTCGCAAGGTGGCTATTGATGCCAGTATGTGCCTGTACCAGTTCCTCATAGCAGTACGCTCGGAGGGAGCGCAGCTGGCGACAGTCAACGGAGAGCCCACATCCCATTTAATGGGCATGTTCTATCGCACCATCCGACTGCTGGATAACGGCATCAAGCCAGTGTATGTGTTCGATGGCAAGCCGCCAGATCTGAAGTCTGGGGAACTGGCCAAGCGTGCCGAGCGCCGCGAGGAGGCGGAGAAGGCCCTAAAGGCGGCCACCGATGCTGGGGATGATGCGGAGATCGAGAAGTTCAATCGTCGCCTGGTGCGAGTGACCAAAGATCATGCCCGCGAGGCCAAGGAGCTGCTGTCCCTCATGGGAGTGCCCTATGTAGACGCGCCCTGTGAGGCGGAGGCACAGTGTGCAGCTCTCGTCAAGGCTGGCAAGGTGTATGCCACGGCCACAGAGGATATGGATGCGCTGACATTTGGATCCACAAAGCTGCTCAGGTATCTCACGTATAGCGAGGCGCGCAAGATGCCCGTCAAGGAGTTTAGCTACGACAAGCTGCTCGAGGGCCTGGAGGTCAACAATCGCGAGTTCATCGATCTGTGCATCCTGCTGGGCTGCGACTACTGCGAGAGCATCAAGGGCATCGGCCCCAAACGAGCCATAGAGCTGATCAACAACTATCGGGACATTGAGACCATTCTGGATAACCTGGACACCAGCAAGTACACGGTGCCCGAGAACTGGAACTACAAAGTGGCGCGCGAGCTGTTCATTGAGCCGGAGGTGGCCGATGCTTCGGCCATTGATCTCAAGTGGACGGAACCCGACGAGGAAGGTCTGGTCAAGTTCCTCTGCGGTGACAGGCAGTTCAGCGAGGAGCGTGTGCGCAACGGTGCCAAAAAGCTGTTCAAGTCCAAGCACGCTCAGACCCAAGTGCGGCTGGATAGCTTCTTCAAAACGCTGCCCAGCACACCGAATGCAGTGAATGCGGCCAAGCGCAAGGCCGAGGAGGCCAAGAAGAGTGCCAACAACAAGAAGGCCAAGACCAGCGGCGGTGCGGCACGTGGCAGAAGGCCCAAATAGTGGTTCGTTCACACTCCCATCATCAAAGGTACAATTTCATTTAATATTAACTTAACGATATTCAAAATGCCTACAATTAATATATAAAATGACATCAATCTGAGTTTATTTCTAGTTGGTCTTTGTATGAGGTTGGGATGATGATAAGGATGCTGTGGAGAGGGAGATTGAACTGCGACTACAGCAAATACTGCTTGGCCAGTGCCCGAATGAAGCGTGACTTGCGTACCATCGCGCTTTCACGTTTGATTTCCTCGTTGTTATTCGCATTCAGCTCCAAGGTGCCCATCATGGAGATCTGTGTGTGGCAGAGGTGAGTGAGTGCCGCTCAGGAATGATTTTATTTGGTCGCTTACCGCCTCCAGTTTTCGACTATGCTCGCCTCGCTTCGCATGCAGATTGACAATGAACTCCAGCAGCGTTGTGTCCCATATGCAGCTGTAGTACGAGTCCATGGCATCCGTGAAGTTTGATGACTTTTCGCTGAGATTCTTAAACACAATCCCATAGTCGATCTCCTCGAGGAACTGACACAGTACTGTGGCCTGCATGTGGCAGCCCAAATTGGCGGCACAGCGAATCATCTTGCGTATAACATAATCATCCGCCACATTGCGCTGCAGCGGCATCGTGCAGTAGTCCGTGCCGGTGACCAAGGCGTTCACGTAGCAGCGCATGGCTGATTCATTGTTGCCAATGGCCAAATCCAGATCGCCCTTCATCTTCAGCCAGGAAATTGTCTGCGGATAGTAGGACAGAGCCTCAGACAGCAGCCACTGAAGCGTCTCGCAGACACTGCGCAGGCTGAAGCTAATGGGACTGAAAGGATTCGATTAGAAAGGGACATTTAAGGTGCGTGCAACTCACTTGTTAACGCTGGTGGGCCACAGGTGCATGTATTCACAGCTCAGATCATTGTTGGGATCATCCTTGAGTATGTTGTGCAGCTTGCCCAGCATGGAGATGGCCAGGCCAAAGATGTTTTGGTGCCGCACACGTTGCAAGAATGCCTGGAGGGAGCTGATGCCGGCACTCGATTGCGTTGAACGCTTGGGCACATTGAGGAACATGCTCACCATCAGCTCCCATGCGTCGCGCGACACCTTCTTGGTGGTCTTCATCTTCTCCATTTCGATAAAGGTGGCAGCAAAGGCCAGCGGCAGCTCGAGCGGACCCGTTCGCTTGTCCAGGTAGAGCAGTGGCGGGAAGTCCGTCAGATTGAGCAGCATAATGGCACAACTTTCGAGTATTTCCGGCCGAGGAACAATGGAATCGCCAGCCTGGAGCACGCTGAGACACTGCTTGCAGCGGGTGCCCAGCGACTGCAGGTCGAGCGGCTTCTGGTGCCACTCCTCCAGGCATTGCGTAATCTGAATATGCAGAATCTCCCACGTGAGCAGCTTGCACATCAGCTGCGTATTCCCGGCTATCTCCTGGCGCTGCGACTCAGACTTTAGCACGCTCAGCATGGACACGGCCTCTATGTAGTCGCCCCTCGTCGCCAGCTCACGCGCCTTGCCGAGCAGCACGTAGCTGAAATCCTGCAGAAAGCTCACTGGCATCGCCATGACCATGGCCTTTAGCGGCTGCGGCACATCCCAGCTGGGATTGATGGACCACAGCGGCTTCTCCGGCGCCGTGCCACACAGCTTCACCAGCAGAATCCTCACGGTGTTGGCATTCGAGCAGCTAATCAGCTGCCGCTCCAAGGCAGCCACATCCACGCGGGTACTCTTCGAGTGGCACATCCAGTCGTTGAGCGAGGCCAGCGAGTTGCTGGGCACGGGCGGCGCTGCCTGCAGCATTTGATCATCCAAATCGTCCAACTCCTCGACTGTGAAGATGTCCAAGTCCCGCACGATCTGCAGCAACTGTTTGGACTGCGGCGGCTGTGCCTGGTGCAGCATGCAGTCGATGAGGAAATGCTTGAGCGCCGACTGTTCCGCCTTGTTGCAGTGGGGCAGCACCTCCGTCAAGGCCTCCACGAGCGGTGGCAGATAGTCCAGCTCCCGATACTTCTCAAAGTACTCGACGCTGCCAAATATGCTGCCCCATTCGAAGATGTTGCGCACCATATTGAGCGCTGCCACCTGCAGCTGCAGCTGTGTCGACTCCTTCAGCTGTCCCGTGGAGATGGCGCCCTCAATGTCCAGCTCCAGATTGCGTCGACTGACGAGGGGAATCTCGCGCGCTTGGTTATCCAGCCGCAGAATGGTCAGAATCTCCGCATAATTGTTCAGCAACGAATGATGGAAACGCTCCATCAGAGTGTGCTTCTGTGCGCTGATGCCGCACGCCAGCAGCAGCCCCTCCAGCTCCACGGCCCGAATGTGACAGAAGTAGAGCGTGGTCTGTGGGGCTATCGCCTGCAGGTTGTTGTTGCACGCGGCAGCCGACTCACGCGCCAGCACATACTGTTTGGTGTAGAGGTAATAGTGGGCCAGCTCGTAGCTGAGTTGGGCACGCAGCTCCTGGGGGCTGATCAGATGCATTATGTCGTAGTTCTGGCCAGTGCTGAGATCATCGCAGTGCAGCGTCACAAAGCTGTCGTAGTGGAACACGTAGAAGGGCTTGCTGGATGTGCACAGCTGCTGCAGATACTCAATGGAAGGCTGCGTCGGTGACTCCAGGAACTGCTGCAGCTGATCGATCGGCTGGAATCTGAACGGAGCACTCTCCTTGACGAGCTGCAGCCGCAGCAACAGGCGATGGTAGATGGTGAGGGCAAACCTCGCCGCTCGCTCGTTCCCAGACGCAGCTAAAGCGACACAGAAAGGTAAGAATTATCCACATATTCGTTGGGTGGGGCGGGGGTAGACTTACATATTTTCAAATCAAAGTCACTGGCCAGGGGAATACTCAGATTGCGGCCATAGCTTATGGTGCAGAGATCACGCAGCAGGGCCAGCTGCATCAGCACGGGCAGATTCTTCTCCAGCATGTCCAGGTCCCAGCGCAGCCATGTGGCAACTTTCAGCTCGAGAATTTTTAGTGCCAACTGCTTGCGGGTGAGCTCCAGGCCGTTTTCCCCCGGCCACTGCTGTTGCTGTGCCAGCGGCGAGACATTGAGCGCCGCCGAAGCAGTGGGCGTGGGGGAATTGGCTGCTCCTCCCACAGTGGCACCCGGCAGATTCTGCAGGTCGCCTCCAGGCGTCACCACAGACGTTGCCGACGTGTCCGGCGTCACGCTGATGAACTGCATGATCAGCTCCAGGGCGCTGGGCTCTATTAAGAAAC